CATTAGGAAAAAGTTCCTAACTCTCAGGTGGTTAACACTGGACAAATTGCCTAGGGAGGTTGTGGAATCTCCGTCTCTGGAGATATTTAAGAGTAGGTTAGATAAATGTCTATCAGGGATGGTCTAGACAGTATTTGGTCCTGCCATGCGGGCAGGGGACTGGACTCAATGACCTCTCGAGGTCCCTTCCAGTCCCAGAATCTATGAATCTATGAAAAAATTTCACATACTGTAGGACTAAGAAAGTAAAGTGATACAAACTAAGTAAATTGAGTAGTTACTCTAGGGTCTTTGATGGGTTCCGGAAGGAAGCAGCTGAAATATTGTTTCCTGAAATTTTATTGTTTGTTTATATTCTTTGCCTACACTCCAGGAAATGCCGTATTGCCACCCTAAAGAATCTTGCATTACTTTTAGAAGGAGAACAAAAACTTTATAGAGAAGAGGTTTGTACAATGACTAGTCCTGTACATGGCTCTACTGGATATCTTGTCAACCACATATAAGTTTTGATTAAGCAGCACAGCTATCACGTACTTACCTTTGATTTGCCCTTACTGTAACAGGCTCTTTTAGTAGCTTCATCACACTGCCACTCCACTGCCTGAAATACATACCAATAAAAATATTTATAGACAAAGATAAGTAAAGTATAAAACACATAGTAGTGTCAGATAGAGACAGCTAACACAGTCATGTTTACATGGTACATAGTTCTGTTACATTAACAATTGATATTGGGGAGAATCCATTTATAATATTGTTATAATGTTTTTTTCCTCAGAAACATATATCATTTTTATTGATGGCTGCTTAGTGACGTAGCTAAAGTGAGGTTGGTGTTTTCAATCCAGACCTAGCACATACTTACCTACATCAGAAAAATCACTATCAGCACTAATTAGCACTATTCCTGGCAGTCCTAGCAAAGCAAAGTGATTGAATAAGTATGGAGAGGAAAAGATGCTCTATCCCCAGATCTGTCAGTCTAGGTAGTTAAATGGCCTGCATCGCCATAGCATTTGAGGTCAACTTTGTTGAGAGACATAGTCATCACGCTGTGGGAAAGCGTGCACTGTTGCTGTCCATCCTGTCAGTATAAATTCAAGAGGCTACCAATCCAGCACTAATCACAAGCACTAAAACTTACATTTTGGTTTGAGAGAAAAAAGAAACATTCAAAACCATAGCACTACAATTGTCTACTATGAAACGGAGGTGATTTAGCCTAATTTCTGTGTTGTCTCTTTGCTTCAACAGATTTATACCACAGCTGTAACACTATTTTACCATGCTGTAGTTTCAGTGTATGAATTAAACCTTATTATTGCTTTATCTAATGTTCAAAAGTTATGGCTTAGGAAGTATATTCTTTTATGAAGTAGAGTGTATATTTCAGTGTGTACATACTGATACATGTGCATATTTGCATAAATTTATATACTGTATAATCAAGAATGCCTTTGATATCAGATGGTACCTTTCACATCTAGGGTGTGTATTCATATCTGTTATTTAGATTAAAAGTGTAATTGATTGCATTTGCTTTTTACCAGAAAGAACTGTGATTTCCTTACTAACTGTTGCAGCTTAACAATTTAAATCACAGTTTGCCCCATTTTCATTTTAAGTAACCAAAGCCAACTCATGCTGATTTAATGTAGCAATTTTTTTTGTAGCTGACCTTTCATGGAGATTGTAATAATAGTAAGAAGACTCTGTAATTAGTAAAATAATAGGCTGAAAGCCTATTTAAATGAAGGGAAGAAAACACCTTCAGACAATACTACACAGTACTCTTTGATGTGCCTTTTCAACTAGCCCAAGAATTAGTTTTTTTTTATTTCCAGAAAAATAACCTTATAATCAGTCCTCCCCTCCCCCCGCCCTGTTCCCCAAACTCCTTTCCATTTAAAACAATTTCTATTGCAGATGAATTTCTACATCAGTGGGGATTCATTGAAAACTTCTAAAACAGTCTGGAAGAATCCTTCAGTGAATGACCCTAGCATTTGTAACAAATTGTATCTAGCAGCATGAAACACCCTCATAAGGAGCTGTACACAAAGGGAACAATACCTTAACTCTTTTGTACAAAAAGCAGTTTTATCCCACAAATGGTAAGTACTCTATAAAAGGCTGTTCTTGGCATACCAACGTATCCTAAGTTTCTAGAGTATTATAAAGATTGCTTTAGAATAGAGAACTAAAGCAAATGCCACCAGGACACAATAAGTCTATATGTTGTAAGCAGTATGCGCCAGTGTCTGATTTTGGAAATTTTAACCCATAAAAGCATTGAAGCTTAAACTCTACTATGGTTCCAATGTAGAAGGAGTTACTGGAAGGTCATCAGTGTAGGAAGATTTCATGAGAAATGTAGATTTAAATTAAGGCTTTAAGGAGAGTGCTCGCCATATGTGAACTTAGTAGGCTGTACCAAGCTTGGGGAGTGGAGAGAAAGAAGCCATGTTAAGCATGTAGCATATCCTACAGCCAGGGCCGGCTCCAGGCACCAGCTTCTCAAGCAGGTGCTTGGGGCGGCCGCTCCGGAGAGGGGCGGCACGTCCAGGTATTCGGCGGCAATTCGGCGGACGGTCCCTCACTCCGCCTGGGAGCGAAGGACCTCCCGCCGAATTGCCATCACAGATCGTGATCACGGGTTTGTTTTTGTTTTTGTTTTTTTTGTTTTGGCTGCTTGGGGCGGCCAAAACCCTGGAGCCGGCCCTGCTTACAGCATGAGTAAACCCCTTATGCTTAACAATCTGTCCCATCTTGTATTTTGCTCACTCTGGTTGCCTTCTCTGGGCCTGAGAAAGATCTCTTTGTAGCTTGAAAGCTTGTCCCTTCCACCAACAGAAGTTGGTCCAATAAAAGGTATTACCTCACATATAGTGTCTCTCTCATATTCTGGGACCATATACTGGGACCATGCACAATCCATTATACTGCAATGCCCCCAAAACACAATGCTTATGGCAAAATTTTCAGAAGAAGTTTTGTTTTGGGTGTCCTTCTTTAACATCCAACACATGGTTTGGCAGAGGTATTCTGCTTCTCACAGATCAGCTTACCACTGCCACAAATCCACTACCTATAATAGAGAGCCAATGGTGTTTACCACAGGTGAAAATGTACTGCACAAGATATAAAATACCTGCAACCACAGACAAAAAAAATATATATTATTTTCCCAATTTTAAAGATCTGGAATCCTAAATTGAGAAAGATTAAAGAGATTTCCTTGCAGTTTCATTTCTTTTCTAATATATTGGAATGGACATTGGCTTTGAGAGTCAAGATCACTGAATTCTATTTTGTCTCATTCTAACACTGACTTGCTGTGTGACCTTAGTTCATTTCACTCAGTCTTTATTTTGAAATCTGCAAAATGGGAGCAATAATATTTACCTAGTTTGCAAAGTTGCATAGCATAATTAAACAATGCATGCAAAGTGCTACAAAAATGCGAAGAATGATTACTGTTTGTCAGTAGCAGAGATGGGAACAAGTATCAGGAGGTAGCCGTGTTAGTCTGTATTCACAAAAACAACAAGGAGTCCGGTGGCACCTTAAAGACTAACAGATTTATTTGGGCATAAGCTTTCGTGGGTAAAAAAAACCACTTCTTCAGATGCATGAGATGGGAACAAAATTCAGAAACTAATTATTCTTAGCCCTGTGATTAATACACTAAATTATATGACTTTTGCGGGGGGAATCCTCTTTCCTCCTCCAAAACAAATTCATATAGAAGTGGACACTTTGAGTGTCCACATACATCTCTACAAATATTTCAGACTCAGCAAGTTCCATTGAGATTCCTATATATTGACTAAACCTCCCAAATTATAATTTATTGCTAACTGAGAACTGCCCAGATATCTAGATTTTTTCAGGAGAGAAAAGTCAAAAGCCTGAGAGAGTAGAAACTCAAACCTCAATGGCACAATTTTTGCAGTCTTTCACCCGTGTATGTAATGGAACTCAATGCAGGCAAGTCTGGAAGCCTATTAACCGCACCTGTGGTGTAGCTGAAAAGAAACTTCCCGGTTTTTTTCCTTTCTCTAATATACTTTGAATGAATGAATTGAAATATACATTTAATATTAAGACACTATATGATATTGTCAGATACTGTATTGGGATAAATATAAGGAACAAAACTGAATAAACTATTTTTATGAAGTAAGCTATATGCAAAACGTACAATTAATGGCAGGGTTTACTTTAGGGGCATCCTGCTAAGAAAAGAAGGGGGCTGTGTTCATACTGATATATTTTAAATTAGTGATTATGTTAGCAAAGTAAGGATAATATTTGCAATCAAGTATGCTTATGTTACTACAAGTCAGTGAAATATACCCATGCTGGAAATAGATAAATAAAGAGATAGAACCAAATAATGTGTTCTAAGGACGGTTGAACACAGAGTTGAATAATGAGAAATGCAACTGTTTGATCATCAGCATAGTTTTAGGGGGAGGGGAAGAATGGGTATTGCGCCCCCGCCCCCCAAACTGCAAACCTCGGTTAGGCACGGAATTTGCCCCCACCCGTGTGCAGCCCCATTGGCCTAACTGGAGCTGTCCCGTGCAAAAAAATATAGAAGTCAAACTACACCTATGTGTTTGACCACTAATGCACAGACACAGGTCAGCCATATATACAGAGTTCCTAACATTATTGTTAAAATAAGGAGAGCAGAAATGATAAACTTATACAGCTGTTCTGGCCTGCTGAAGAACAGCAATTTTTTAAATGACATTGTGTAACTGCGTATTGGACACTTAAAACTAATTAAAGATCATAAAAGCAGTGGAGAGGCTTTTTTTCAAACTGTGAACTTTAAGCTAGACATTTCAGCAGTCAGCAAAGTGCAGAGGAGAAAATACTACTTGAGCAAGCACACTGTGTAAAGTTGGCCAGAGGATGCACTTAAAGAGGGGGCCATGGAAAGTAACTTTCAAAAGTAGGTTGCTAACTGGGGATTAGCCAGCAGGTGTTCAATGTATGTACTACCATCGCCATACAAATGGCTATGGCCTAACTAGTCTTACATAAACTGGCATAAGATGTTTTGCACAAATATACTGGAATGTAAGACCCAGTTGCAAGGCTTCAAAAGTGATGCCTCATCTTCTGATTGGATGGTGAAAGGAGACACAACTTTAATTTTGGCTGGACATTTTAAGTCTTTGTCAGAAGCATGAGTTGCCATTTGATTAACCCACACCAGTTTCTCAAAGAAGAGTAACCCAGTTGTACTACCCAGGGAAAATTGGATAAATTGGAATGTCTCTGTAAGCACATTGCTTCCTGAAAGCTAAAGACACCTGGAAGGAAGACGATTGTGGTCCCGTGCCAGCCACTTGGGAACCCTCCTGGTATTCCCAAGTATCAAACAGGCACCTTTATTTGTTTCTTTCTCTTTTCCACCAGCTTGGGTTGTCCACCGTTGGAGTGGGAAAAGACTATAATGCTGTATCTAAATCTGCTCCACCTGGGTTTACAGTGTCAACTTTGCTATTGAGCTGAGAGCTGAAGGCTGAGCAAAGATCTGGTGATAACTAACAGACTTTGAGCACCCTTTCAACATCAAAG